AGTGCCGCTGGTCTCTGCCCACACAGCAACCCACCCAGTCGGCGTACCCGTACCCAGCACAGCCGTGGTGAGGCACCTGGACATGGACAAGCTTCCCCTTTACCCAGGTGTAGTAACCATTTATTGTGGGTGGGCTGTGCTGTTGATTATTTGTTGTGGGTGGGCTGCTGGACTAACAAGGGCACTGACCGGCAGGAGGTCAGATACCCTGTTAGTCTGTTTGGAAAAGGGGAGAGATGTGACGAAACCAATCTCGCCACATTGCATTGGAGAAGCCTGGTTGCTCGCCTGCTGCCTTTGGACTATGGCCCCTTTGTAAAAGACTTTATTTTTGCATGCAGAAAAGCTGTATTCATGCTTTTCTGCCGGTTGTTCGGTAGTTTCAATCTACCGAACAACCGTACGAATGACTGGACCACCTGGAGCTGGAGTGTGCCGGCAATTAACCTCCCTGAAGCTGCGGTTAACCGCAGCTTAATTGATGAACGCTGGGTGGCCGCCGTTCGTATCCCGAACACGAGGTCGCGGCCATTTTAAACCATACGAATGAACAGCGGTGTTTGCCTCTATTTTCATGGAACTAAAATCGGACACAGTTTTGCGCGAACACCGCTGAAGCCGCCGACCTCCCTTCTTGTTCGGTGAAAGCACACGAATGACCCGGTGTTCGGTATTTTTGTTTGAATTTCTTATACCCCAGATAGGAATCCCATGGAGCCCATTCGTATGAAACTGACTGTAAAGACTTTGGCTCCATGGCGATTGAACTGTATTCGTGTAGGCTGAGTGCCATTCACTTAATAATGTGCACTCAGACCTGAGCTATCTGGGGATATGTTACATGTCTGTGGTTTATGTAGGGAACGTTACTTTGTGCATTTTAAAGTGTTATGCTGGTTTTGTGTTCCCACGTGTGTAATGGAGTTTTGCCTTCGTCTTGGGAGATAATTGAATTACTTCCCAATTATCTCCCAGGGCAGAGAGGAGGAAGCCAGGATGCATTGTGGGAATATATTGTGACTGTGTGTCCTTTTTGTATACGTGTCTGGCCCTTGTCACAGTCTTCCATCTGGTCCCCTAGGGGAGTGTCCACCAGGTGGGAGACCTGCATAAAAGCTGGGCAGGTAGCCCTCATTAAACAGACCACTGCTTGACCCTCAACACGGAGCCTTGTCTCGTCTTTGGGGGGATTTACTGTATGCTGCTAAGGACCGATTGCCAGGAGTGTAAACCGCTTGGGAGCTTTTCCTGTTCGTCTGGTAGCAGCTATTCGTATGGTTCCTGTTCGTTTATTTGAAGTGCTACCTTATTCCCTTGTATGCCGTTCGGGAGTTTGGAGCATTCACTTATTGGCGGTTCGTGAGTTTTGGTGATTCTACAGTAGCTGTGCCTGTCTCTGAAAGGGGGATTATCGTCTAAGCGGTTTTTTCCCCTTTTATGCAAAACGGTCCGTTACAATTGGTGGCAAGCGGCGGGATCGTTCCTACAACCAGAAGGACAGCTACAGGAGACACCATTTCTTTGGATTTTACAATTTGAGGGCAACGCATGTCCCAGTACAGCGACCCTGACAGCACCGAGATGGAACCAGCAGTGGAGTATGATGAGGGTGCCATGGATGACCGAGATGCAGTCCGTAAAGGCATCTGGTACCAGGCACTGGGTATTGTGGAGTACCAGCGGGGCGAGAGATTCCCCAAGGAAGACCAGCGGTTGCAGAAGCGAGTAGCCCTGCGGATGCCCTTCCTGGGAGAGCAGCCCCTGGAGGAATGGGTGAGGAAATTGGAACACCTAGTATGGCAGGAGTTGTGGCTAGAAGATGCCTACCAGGCGCTCTGGTGGTATGGGGCACAGTACCTACCCTGGACAGCCGAGCATGACAAACCAGAGGGAGAGGAGTTTGATGGTCCTGGCTTGTTATGGGAGTCGTTTTCAGAGCTCGAATTTGGGAGCCCTACACAAGCCCGGTTCAGTGATCTCTGGGAGTGGAGGGAGAGCAGGTATGACTGGGACGACGCTCACAAAATTGAGCAAGACCTGGTCCACCTGGTAACCCGGGAGATGGAGCTAGAACAGGGCTACCAGCAGCTGTTTCAATACAGCGAGAAGGCTCAGCAGGAGAGCAGCATGACAGACCCAGAGCCAGACCCATTCAGAGGGGACGAGATGGTACAGTTTTACTGGGAAGAACCCCAGGTGGCCGGTAGAGATGGGACCGAGGTCTCTCCACCAGTATTGCAGGGAATTGGGAGCCCGAGCTCCATTCCCCAGCGGGAGATATTGCAGGGAATTGGGAGCCTGAGCTCCATTCCCCAGCGGCAGGCTGAGTTACAGGGGGCAGAGGTAGTTGTTCCTGCCCCCCAGCAGCAGAATGAATTGCAGGGAATTAGGAGCCCGAGCTCCATTCCCCAGCGGGAGATATTGCAGGGAATTGGGAGCCTGAGCTCCATTCCCCAGCGGCAGGCTGAGTTACAGGGGGCAGAGGTAGTTGTTCCTGCCCCCCAGCAGCCAAGTGATATGCCGGGAAGGCAGTGGGAAGTCCAGGGAGAGGAGAGCAGTGTCCTCCCTCCCCAGCGGCAGCGTGATTTTTTGGGAATTGGGAGCCCAGTCTCCATTCCCCAGCGGCAGCACAGATGCTTTGGGAATTGGGAGCCCCGTCTCCATTCCCCAGCGGCAGAGTGTCCTACCGGGAATAGAGAGCCCAGTCTCCTTTCCCCAGCAGCAGGACTCTGTATTGGGAGCAGAGACAGTCGGTCTCCCTCCCCCACAGCTGGAAGTATGTATGGGAGAGGAGCTTGTTACCCCCTCTCCCCAGCGGCAGCTTAATGTACAAAGGGGAGACAGTAAGCCCCACAACCGTGCAGATGGGACCGTAGTCTCTACACTGCCAGCACAGGGGGTAGGGACGGTCGGTCCTGCCCCCCAGCGACAGGGCTGTTTAGCCAAAGGGGAGACAGTCAGTCTCCCCCTCCAGCAGCAGAGATGGGTAACCAAAGGGGAGACAGTCGGTCTCCAGCAGCAGGGCTGTGCAGCTAAAGGGGAGACGGTCGGTCTCCAGCAGCAGGACTGTGCATCTAAAGGGGAGACAGTCAGTCTCCAGCAGCAGCAGCAGAGCGGTGTATTTAAAGGGGAGACAGTCGGTCTCCCCCTCCAACAACCAGGCTTCCACCAGGCTACCCTCCCAGTAGCGCTGGCAACAGGGCAGAGTGCCGCTGGTCTCTGCCCACGCAGCAACCCACCAAGTCAGCGTACCCGTACCCAGCACAGCCGTGGTGAGGCACCTGGACATGGACAAGCTTCTCCTTTACCCAGGTGTAGTAACCATTTATTGTGGGTGGGCTGTGCTGTTGATTATTTGTTGTGGGTGGGCTGCTGGACTAACAAGGGCACTGACCGGCAGGAGGTCAGATACCCTGTTAGTCTGTTTGGAAAAGGGGAGAGATGTGACGAGACCAATCTCGCCACATTGCATTGGAGAAGCCTGGTTGCTCGCCTGCTGCCTTTGGACTATGGCCCCCTTTGTAAAAGACTTTATTTTTGCATGCAGAAAAGCTGTATTCGTGCTTTTCTGCCGGTTGTTCGGTAGTTTCAATCTACCGAACAACCGTACGAATGACTGGACCACCTGGGGGCTGGAGTGTGCCGGCAATTAACCTCCCTGAAGCTGCGGTTAACCGCAGCTTAATTGATGAACGCTGGGTGGCCGCCGTTCGTATCCCGAACACGAGGTCGTGGCCATTTTAAACCATACGAATGAACAGCGGTGTTCGCCTCTATTTTCATGGAACTAAAATCGGACACAGTTTTGCGCGAACACCGCTGAAGCCGCCGACCTCCCTTCTTGTTCGGTGAAAGCACACGAATGACCCGGTGTTCGGTATTTTTGTGTGAATTTCTTATACCCCAGATAGGAATCCCATGGAGCCCATTCGTATGAAACTGACTGTAAAGACTTTGGCTCCATGGCGATTGAACTGTATTCGTGTAGGCTGAGTGCCATTCACTTAATAATGTGCACTCAGACCTGAGCTATCTGGGGATATGTTACATGTCTGTGGTTTATGTAGTAAACGTTACTTTGTGCATTTTAAAGTGTTATGCTGGTTTTGTGTTCCCACGTGTGTAATGGAGTTTTGCCTTTGTCTTGGGAGATAATTGAATTACTTCCCAATTATCTCCCAGGGCAGAGGGGAGGAAGCCAGGATGCATTGTGGGAATATATTGTGACTGTGTGTCCTTTTTGTATACGTGTCTGTCCCTTGTCACAGTCTTCCATCTGGTCCCCTAGGGGAGTGTCCACCAGGTGGGAGACCTGCATAAAAGCTGGGCAGGTAGCCCTCATTAAAGAGACCACTGCTTGACCCTCAACACGGAGCCTTGTCTCGTCTTTGGGGGGATTTACTGTATGCTGCTAAGGACTGATTGCCAGGAGTGTAAGCCGCTTGGAAGCTTTTCCTGTTCGCCTGCTAGCAGCTATTCGTATGGTTCCTGTTCGTTTATTTGAAGTGCTACCTTATTCCCTTGTATGCCGTTCGGGAGTTTGGAGCATTCACTTATTGGCGGTTCGTGAGTTTTGGTGATTCTACAGTAGCTGTGCCTGTCTCTGAAAGGGGGATTATCGTCTAAGCGGTTTTTACCCCTTTTATGCTAAACGGTCCGTTACACACACGTCTTGATTCAACCACTCATACGTCACGTTGTTTCCTAATTTGGGATAATTTCTCAAATATTTCTGTACCTCGTACTTACGTTTACGGCCTAAAATAGACTGTATTGTTTTAAATCCTGCACCTTATCATACTACAAACACTAGCATTACTAAATCATACGCATTAATCTTGTCACCATAGAGACATATCATACACCCCCTAAGCATTGTTACCATACCACATAACAGGGCCAGTCGGGCCAATACCATTCATAAATTCCCCTTCCATATGTACTGCTAGAACTCATCACAGCTAACTAGTCTAAATTGGTATCATAGGATCCAATTCTCACACTATCATATCTGGTTTTCTATCCCTTTAGGTTTTTCCAGTTTTCTTTACCTATTGCTTATTCAAACTCATACATACTACCAGGTACGTGAAGCCTGCTCACGCCATACATCACATATGGTTCCTCCTCTACTTAGGACATAGAGTACTGGCAAATTTTAGGGGTTATAGGCCCAAATAGGTATCCCCCCTCCGTGCATTCTGCCTATCGTTTAGTGGTCCGCGAGGCCAACACCCCGCCTCAACGTTTCGGAGGTAATGCCCCCCGGGCCACACGTGAGTTAGCCGCCTCGCAATTATAGAGAGGGTGCCACCTGTCACTCCCTTCCCTTGTTTTCTTGTATTGTCACCGAGAGGCCTACGAATTCCTGCCACTACGTCGGGTGGCCTCAAATAACCCCTCGCGCCAACGCATAGATAGAGCCTCTCATAGCCACTTGGCAACTAGCAGGGCCTCACCTGTCACCAAAGAACAAGATTAATTTCTCGCCTCATCTGGCATAATTAGCCTGCCAGTACATCCCCTGGGGTTTTTTTACGCTAACCATATACTTTGTAATCTAGTATGTCTCAAAAAGGGGTAGAGGATTTCTCCATCCCAAGGACTCCGGCTAGAACAAACACCCCATCACAGGAGGAAGATACGGCTAGTCCAGCATCTTTCAGATCATGGACTATCCCTCGCATCACTAGCGAACTCAGGCGACGACAAATCCCTTTTCCAGCAACAGCAAGGAAAGCGGAACTTTACAAATTACTACACACCTCAACCGATAACATGGACGCTGGGGAAGGGTCGAGCCAGTCCAACCCAGGAAACATACATGACATGCTCACGTCCCTCATGGCATCCATGAGCAAGGTCAATTCTAGGCTGGAGAAACTTGAATCGGTCACTACAGCCCTCACTATGGCTGGACCACCCACGGAAATTCTCCCATCAGTGGTGGAGTCGCAATCAGTTTCTCCAGCTATCACCTCGGATGACCAAGAGGTTTACCCTGCCCACATGATTCCTGAGCACCTCAGGAGAGATATCCTGGAAGGTAAAGATGTCAATCTGGCCTCACTACTAATTGCCTCCCAGGATATAGTGGAACATAAGACCTACGCTTATGACGATATTTCTGTGGTGGTCAAATCTAGGGATGCACGATTAAATAGGAAGCTAACCATTCCAGAATTTGTATTAGCTTTTGGCATTTATCGGGATGTGATCTGTACGGTATATCCCCACAGACGTGAGGAGTTTGACTTATATATGCACAGGCTGGTTGATCTGGGCAACAAATATGGTGGGTCAGCTTTCTATGACTACCATAGATCCTTTTCTGCCAAAGTGTCTGGCGCCTTCTCACAGTACGGGACAAGGTCCAACTGGAGTAAGATTGATACGAGCACCGGCCTGTGCACACTGCTCCTCCATGACTCATACTGCCAATTTTTGTCCGACCACTGCGAACGAACCTACCACCTCGCAGGGCACTAGCTCCGCACTAGCTCCGCTGTTTCGGCAGAGAGAACACCCAAAGACAAACTGGGTCGACCTATCAAGTTTTTGGGGAAGTCAATGTCGGTGCATGTAATTACAGCGGTTGT